TATATATATATATATATATATATATATATATATATATATATATATATATATATATATATATATATATATATATATAAATTATGTATGTGTAGTTATAGTTTTGCTGAAATATTTACTAATTAGTAACTTCTTTTACTAATAATTGTCAATTGGCATTTTCTTTATATATTTTAACTGAAGACCTCTACCTGCATGGCACTCAAATTTTACAAAAATGGTATGACCGTCCAAGATGGTTCGTTACGTTCTTATAACGATCCGGCAACAAGTGCGTTTATTCGTGATATTTTGGATGGCTATTTTCCATCTGAATTGCAACAAGAATATCCTGACGGAGTTCCCTTTATGGTAAATCGTCAAATATAATTCTAAGATATATGAAAGATTCTTTGATTCTTGCACTTTTCCTTTCTTTTTTGGATTCTTTGATCAGTATCAAAGTCGATTCTTTTTCAAAGGAAATTTGATTGACCGTCTTACAGTTTCGCAACTTTCATTTTACTGAAGATATCTTTGTAACTCGCTTTCAGACACGCTTTACATTTTGACTTACCCTTGTAGATAGAAGATCACAGAACAGAATTATACGTAGCCGACTCAGCTGGCTTTCCTGGACAAGGGTATCGATTGGGCAAGCAATCACCAGTAGATAACTCGTTATCGACGAACGCACGCAATAATATCTCCCAAAGATCCAATTATGTCGACCCTTTATCGAAAGATAACGTTTGCGATTCGCAAAACATACCACTTTTATCACTCCCAACAAACCGGTATTATCGCACGTTTTATAACAGAATCAATAAATATTCAAGTAGAGGAAAGATTGCATTTTGGTATAAATTGAAGTACTGAAAAAATTCCCTCATTTTTCAGTATATATAATTGTGTATATGTAAAGAGTAATTCTTGATTATATGTAAATTTATATATATATATATATATATATATTTATTTATTTATATATAACATATCCCTTATATTTATTTTATAGTTTTTCGAAATCCAAAGAGTCTTTAGAAGTATCATCTGTCAATTTACCCTCTCTGAGATCGCATATTTTGGCTTCGCACAACAACGTTTGCTCCGATTCTCACATTCAGTCACACATTAACGCTGAATTAGTACGAAGGAGTCGACGAAGGAAGGTAAAGCTCTTGTCGATTTTCAAATTTGTATAAAATTTATTTTAGCTACTGATACTTGCCCTTTTTGAAATACGTATTTCGAAATACGATTATACGTATTGAAACTCTGAAAAAGGGAGAATTATCTACGAAGAAGATTGAATGTGGTATATCGTCGAGAGAACATTTATCAAAGTCGAGAGACGTTTCGAGGTCTTTAAGCAATAGTAGGACAAGATGCCACAGCTCCACCGACAGATCATCGACTAAATTCTCTTCCAAGTAATACATAAGTTTCATACTCATTACTTTTAGTGAGAAACTTGAAGAAACATTATTTCTATGAAATATCTATTGATATATCTATATGTATATATATATATATATATATATATATATATATATATCTATATGTATATATATATATATATATATATATATATATATCTATATGTATATATATATATATATATATATATATATATATCTATATGTATATATATATATATATATATATATATATATATCTATATGTATATATATATATATATATATATATATATATATCTATATGTATATATATATATATATATATATATATATATATCTATATGTATATATATATATATATATATATATATATATATCTATATGTATATATATATATATATATATATATATATATATCTATATGTATATATATATATATATATATATATATATATATCTATATGTATATATATATATATATATATATATATATATATCTATATGTATATATATATATATATATATATATATATATATCTATATGTATATATATATATATATATATATATATATATATCTATATGTATATATATATATATATATATATATATATATATCTATATGTATATATATATATATATATATATATATATATATCTATATGTATATATATATATATATATATATATATATATATCTATATGTATATATATATATATATATATATATATATATATACGGATATTTATTTTTTAATAAACTTTACTGAATGTTTATCTTTATACGGCGGTTTTAACTGTAATACTATTTTAATGTACAATTTTATATACAACTTTTTCTTATTCATCATGAAAGTAGAAAATGGAAAATGACAGACGTATATTATAAATCATAATATTATTTATCTACTCAAGATAGTTTTTTGCAGTATATCAAAATCTATTGGGAATCGTCTCCGACCACGTCCGAGATCTGCTAGTTTATCTGGACGAATTGTTAGTATGCAGTCATTACAGACAAAAGCATTGAGCACAGCGGAGATCAATAAAACCGGTGAACTGAATATCGCCAAACTAATTGTTGAATCATCCATGACGAAATGTCCTCGTGTCACGAAATCGGCTACATACGCGAGAAGTTCGGTGAGGAATATAACTGACTAACAATCGCGGAAACTCAGACAAATTGTATTTTGTCAAAAATATGATACACGATTTCTTTGAACTTTACTGTTTTAGCCTCCGTTATTGCATCAGATCAACGAGGCGACTAGAAAACCTGGCGAGTTGAGATTAAAAATTAGATCATTGACCGGTAGCACTGTATACTTAGTACATGTTTCCATTGACGAATCGGTGACGAAACTATACGAATTACTTGATAAAGCTATGAAAGCGTCAGGATATAAAGGATATAAAGTACTATTGAGCGGGTAAAGAATAGTATATTTGATTTTCTGTATTTATATTTGTACTTTCAGCATCACACACTTATACACACAATGCTCTCTTCATAGTTGATATAACTGCTTACAGATATTCGCCTAAGAAGCTGGAACGTGTAGACGCAACCTTAAAAGAATGCGGAATTAATAGGGATTGCGTTCTCCACCTTGTAAACGATTAAGTGTTTATAATCTCACAATATTAGAGACGTGTTAAATTAATCAACATGTCAAATTAAGACAAGTATACATTTGAAAATTGTGAGTCTGGTCTTATAAAAATTGAAAAATATGTGTTTTTATCGGCTCTTTTCATAAATACTGAACGCATTAGAAAACGTACATCGCGTGTACACATATATATTTCTTGCAGGAAATTCATTTCACTATTATGTTACAAATGTCTAATTAACTGACTTATTTTTATGTATCATAAAAAACGATATTTAATGTAATCATTATTTATGTCACATTTCGTGATTTATTTTCTCAAATCATATATTTGATTTCTCTTTGCGAGATGTTGAACTTGAATGATATTAATAACTTATTATATTCCAAATAATATTCTTTTATATTAATATAATAAAATATTATGTGACAATAATTATTAATAATCACATTAAATTGCGGTTGTAAAGAACTTTATAAATGTATCTTTTACAAAATAACTTATTTGAAAATTTGTCATGTTGTTTCTTTATCGAGATAGTAACGTGCACAGTCAATTTTTAATGTCCATACGTTGAATCTTGTTTTTATTTTCAGCAAATGTTTTATCACTCATAAATACACGGAACGTGAATATAAATTTATGATGAAACTTAAAATTGATACGTATATCTACGTGTATCAGATCCACGTATTTTCGCAAATTCATGAGACATATGGCATATTAAGTAATACAATAACTTGAGTAAGCCGTTGCATTTGCACACACGTATGTATTGGTAGAGAATTACGGAATTTCTCATCATCATCGACAAACTACGTCATGATAGATGCAAGCTCTATCAATCAACGGAATAGAATTCGCACGATTTATCTATCTAGGCCGTGGGCCTCTGCCAATGGACCTGTCAACGAAAGCTTTTCGATCAGATGTCGAGGCGGGACGGTTAATAAGAGGTTGTGTTTGTCAATCGATATCCAAACTGGCTCACATTCCCTCGGGAAATTCCTGGCATGCTCATAAATTTCGTCAATACCGAGCAGATCTGGTATCGTTAAGCGGTGTAATTATTAATAAATAAAAAAAGGCAATCAATTTGATTGAGCACCTGCAACATCGTAAAGCGGAAAATAATAAAAAAGAAAAAATAGACTAGTACTACCTACGTTATCGGAACTTCCGTGTCATTTTCTCGTTAATTGAAAATCGAATGGAGTTCTCCCGGTTGTGCAGCAGTAACAAATGTGATATTCGGCACGTTTTAGTATATATATTCGATGCAAAATAGCGAGACATATAAACAATATCGCTATGAATTCTCTGTTTTTTTCTTTAATAAGTATTTTGAAAAATTGAAACGATCATTGAATTTTATAATTTTATAATTTTAACACTGTATTCGATAAAAAATCACGTTGTATTCCCGTGTCAACAGTTCATTGATTACCTTTGAATCTTTTCATTTATATATACATATACAGGGTGACACCGAACAAGGTGGCCAAACTTCGGTATCGTATTCTACTCTTCCTAAGGATGAAAAAGGGTCATATAAACATAGGTCCGGAAACTCGTCCTTTTTGAGATATAAGTATTTTTTTTGTTTATAATTGAGTATTGTAGGAATGTTTAAAGCTTACTTAGAGAAATTGCTGGAAATGATTTCCTTCTGTAACAATACACTCTTCACATCGATGTTGCAGAGACTATCGAAGACGTTAAAAAATTTCTGGTGTATTCCGAATTTTATCAAATGCGGCAATAATCTGGTTTTTGAGTGTTTCCAGACTGTCAATAGTATTATCATAAATTAAATTTTTAAGATGTCCTCACAAATAAAAATCTAAAGAAGTTAAGTCAGGGGAGCGTGCAGGCCAGGCAATTGGTCCTCCTCTACCAATTTATATCTCGAAAAGGATGAGTTTCCGGAACTATGTTTATATGACCTTTTTTCATTCTTAGGAAGAGTAGAATACGGTACCGAAGTTCGGTGTCACCCTGTATAGAAGAAAACCACGGAATATATATGCACGATTATTTAATCTTTTCAATTTAACACGATTGTAAAAACAAATGACTGAATTGCAAACATTTCATTACAGAGTATCTTATACACAGAATTATGTCGTTAATTATGGTGAAACTTCGTTAAGTAAACTTACTACTAACGAGATCATCGGTCCTTATTTCGTTCTGCAATCGACGAAACATGGGTCTTTACCTGCACATAGTTGCACATCCTTGTTCAATCTCATCGAAGGGACGAACAGCATGAATATTACGTGGAAAATTGGCTCTATTATATAAAAATACGGGCGCATTTGTACGTATATATGTGCAAAGGGACACTGCGCGCCAGATAGATGGGGATAAATTACTGGCGTAGATTTACTTGTAAAAAATAATGGACATATCTTCCGTATGACAATCAAAAGTTAAATTTACTTTGTAGGAAAACTGTATCGCATCATCCATTTGTAGCTTGTCCGTTATTCGCGATTTCCTATCGTTTCACTGTACATCGTTATTTTTACGCGTGAGAGAAAACATATAGGTACGTAATTGATCACATAGAACTTGCGGAGAAATAGACTCGAACACATTGACAGTTAGTCACCACAAACTGGTGATGATTTTAAGAAAAATTCCAGTTGATAGTTTTTATTAATTATTCCATTATTGTTTGTACAATAGATCGTTTAATTGACAATTGATGTTAAACATGAATCAAACGCAATAATGTGCACTTCATTAAATAAAGAATTATTGGGATGTTCTAATCCAAAAAAGCAATAATGTCACGAGACAGAGTTTTATACCTCTCCTAATAATATATAGTTTCGTCTCAGTTTTGCCGTTGCAAGAGAATGAGTTGCAGTGAAGCTCGTTTTTATCGCTTGTAATTTGCTAAGGGATCGATTAAACGGCGAAGAGGAACGTGACAGAGGAAGTGAAGAAAAACAACGAGCTGTTGGCGACATCTGCTTTAAGGCATTGAGATATTAATGGATCTCTCAATTGGTTTCGGCACTAGACAAAAAAAAATAAGAAAGGAAAGAGAAAGGAAAAGGCGACGAGACGAAAGGGTCGTTTGTTCCAGGGTCTCGTTAAGCAATATTGAAAAATTTTTCCGTTTCTCAAGTCTTGCCTTAGTATTATTCAATTCGTTCATTTATTCTAGTGCTACTTTAAATGTAATTTCGATGTACAACAGAAATTTAAAAGTGCTATCTAAACATCAGTATAATAGCCCCGACGCACTGTGTGTCAAATTATACTCAATTTGAGTTATTTTTAACCATTCCTATAAGTCGCCACTGCTCTTACTAAATATGTCGTTAATTTAACTAATGTAATGGAGTTAAATAATTTAACTTAAGAAATGTATTAAATTTAACTACAATTTAGTTTATTTTTTATTATGTGCACGTTAATGTAACCTTTGTCTTAGTAAAAAATGACTTAATATTGTTTTAAATGGGTTGATTAGATGTAATTGTTTTTTTAAACACATGTTTTGTGTTAAAATAGTAAATTTTGACACATATGATAGTTGAAAATAACTAAATATTATTTAACTCAAGAAATTTGTTTAAATTTGACCCTCCAATATTTAACAGTGCAGCTGGAAATAAAGATTAGAAATAGGAAAATATAATTTCGACAAGAGGAGAGAACAACGGATATAATAAATCCAATAATTTCTCGAGATGTGCTTTATCGATGATATGGACTTTTATTTACCGATCTTGTTTTCAGGATGAGGACATTTCAAACAGTGAGGAATATTTCAAGGTAGGCAGCGTGGCACCGTATGTACGTGTTAATGGTTAGCCGCTCCTGAAAGCTATCAGAGCTTTGCACTGGGGATGATTGCGTTCCATGTACCTTCCCCTCATTTTTCTCTCGGTCTCAAATGTCGTGAAATGACCTGGATTTTAACGTACTCTCTTTGAAGCGACACGACTAAACGAATGCAATTTTCAATATAGCGCGGCTGTAACTCGCCCACTTCGAGATGACGATTTAGTCTTTTTTCAACAATTTGACGCTGCTTCATTTTGATAGAATAAAATGCAAGCGATAGAGACGCGCGATTAAAGGTATGACATTTCTGCAATAGTATCCGATATCTATGATATCAGTGCAAAATAACAGTGTGATAATTACGAATATATAATACAATTACGAATTTCAAATATAATCGCCAAATGTATAAGTTAATTAGTTTTTATCTCAAATAGTCTTTTTAAATAATTAGCATATCAGCTAACATTACAAATACATAATTTACGAATATGGAGGTTAATAATAATTTATTAACTTAGATGTAAAATTTATTAAGTAGAAATTGAAAAGTGTTGAAAGATACATATAAAGTTGTTAATTCGTCGAACTAAACATTAAAGCTTTCAATATTTGATATTATCGCTACTCAAATTTGAGAGCTGTGCAGCCGTCCAATCATCGAGAAACTATTTTATCTGCTTTGTTTCACGGATATCGGATTATATACGATCGTAGATTTGTGATAAAACAATTTTCTCAAAATCCATCGAATACAATCGCTTTCCGCAGCGTAGGTTGTTGAAATCGATTAAACACGTCATCGAGATAACCTGCCAATAGATTTGTTAAAAATTTGAGTACATAATAAATATAAATTGACATAAATAAAATGATGACGATTTTGAGTAAACGATTGAAGTTACGAATGCTTGGAAATATTTGTAAAGAATTTAATTATGATTGATGTAACGTCATATTGACTTTTCATCTTTTATATGAAGTGCTATGCTAACACAGAAATTTCCGTGATAGAAAAATATAACTGCGGAGCCGTGCATGCAGTCGCAGGAAGCGAACATTCTTTCATGAAACGAAAGATTGATCGTTCGCCACTTATAAAAGAACTGAGAAGACAGATAATATTACCGAATGGTGAAGTAGAACGTTATGCGGAGAGTCACAAGTTCACACGAGAGTGAAATAAGCATTATTAAAACATAATATGAAAAAATGAAGTATGTGTTTGTGTGTGTATGGAAATTATAAAATATATTAATTGCACAACTCTATTTTCTAACTTTATTCTGAAATTTTGAAAGAAAATTCTCCGATTATATTTCTATATATATGCCTCGCAATTTCACGTCTCACAAAATTAATTTCCAAAATTATTTTTTAAAAGTCCAACTATTACTTCACATTTTCCTATTTTCCCTTCCTTAAATTAATTTAATATGGGAGAAGATGGAAGTGTATTCTTTTAATAAAATCATGTACGTCTTTTATCATACTACTGATCATTATATACTGATAAAAGTATGTTAAGCATGTACAAGTTGTTTTTTTTATGAGCATCGAAAATGTTTATTCCCTGCAATATTAAATACTGTACAGTAGGTACTCAAATCTTTTATTTCGATGTAGAGAAAGTATCCAGATATTTGTCGTTCTCGTGTGTTGCTTATAGACATTCATAGACACTTTTCGTACAGGTAGCCTTTGATTATCAGCACACCGACGAGTTACCATAGCCTCACTGTCCAGTTTGAGCTGTTTGAAATCAATTTTTCGGTTTCGGCGCAATAAAGAAATATAATGTTACACGACATAATGTATCGTAACACAATCGATCGCTCTTAGGAGTATCGAAAGACGCGCGCACAAAAGTGTAAAGTCTGCAGAAAGATTTCCCCGCGCACTGGAAGTAACCCCGTCTCTCTCGCATATGCTTATGATATTGGCTTTGCTCGACTGGAAAACTTATGTATCGCACGTGCAGACATAGACATAAAGAGTTGTCGTACTCGCCGATAAATTCTGCAACGGGTCACGTAAATGATCTGTACGACTCGCGCGAGGTAATATTCGTATTTTAATTGTATTATTATTGGCACAATACGAGAAATACGCGTTACAGTAAAATTGGTAAATGTACCGAATTAAAAACGTATCGCGTATCGGCTTATCGCACACAGTGGCAGTATGGAACTGCTCGTTTTCGAGCGCGTATAATTCCCGTTATTTCTTTACCTCGTTTCTTTTTTTTATTTGTTCTCTGTTTCTTCTTTTTTTTTTTTATTCTTTTTGGAACGAAAGTTTCGTCGATAAATATTTGCATGTACACGTACTTATACACTTACTTTCACATTGTCCAACAGCTAATAACGCATTAATAAATTTACTGCATGACGTAATCTTCTCAACAAACAGCGGTATACGCGTATAATAATATATTCACATTACGAAACGCCGCGGGGTGTATAGCTAAAAACTGTCGAACAGGTTAATCGGCTTATCCCTACCTTTCTCTTTCTCCTCGTGAAAAACACTCGCTGTACGTACATCAGTGATAATAAACTATTCGATCGTGTCAAAATATGACTAAGTCGTTTGGCACGTTCGCACTTCGCGCGGACTTTGTCCTCTGTGCCGCACGCATACAATTTATGTACGTATAATATGTACATACGCTGACGTATACATACATATACATATTTTTACATATATATTTATGTTTCAAGTGCATTTATAAATCACACATACATTTATACAAAAGATTTATAAATCACTTTTCAACAATTAGTGTACCATCTTGCATATAATACAACGCCATCAGGTGATCGTGTCCTTCTCCCATTATCGTTCGAGGTATCTTACGACTCAATTTCTGACTGATTTCTCAGTTGCAAATTATGGAATATTTCCTTCAGAGGACATTGCTTTCATCAAATCGCTAATTGTTGGGACATTTGATGAGTGGAGGAAGACAATGTTATATTTGAATTTATTGCAGAGTTTGGACATGAAAATATCTGAGCAAAAAAACTTTCAACAATATAAGTACTTTCATATATCTATATTATGCTATTTCAATGAAAATTTGTACAACGTTACTTCTTTTATCCGGTTGCGGTTTGAACTTTACGTTCCTTGCTCTCCTGATCAAACATTAAAGAATCTTCCCGACGAGGAATTAAGAACTCTTTTCTTAAGCTGGAAATTTCGCTGTAAATTATTCTTTATATTGCAGCGTAAACTTAAGTTATTAATTCTACCAATTTTTCATAATAACAAGCATCTACTGCATCTACTGTTCATAGGTTGACTTTTAAACCCTGCCTGTCGAAATGATTGGACGCTTTGGTATTTGTTTAGGCTAAATCTGGCAGTGATCACTAATTCGATTTTGGTCCGAGTCATATGATACAGTCGTCGATACTTCTTTTATCTTTGTTTATTATTTGGCACTATACCTCTCGTCGCGTGTAAAAACTCTACTCAGCCGTTCGTAGTCTACAATCATTTACTTGTCTATTGGTTCCGTCTGTCTCGCAACTTCGATCGGTATCGAGAACTCGCAAGAAGTAAAATATTACATTTTACATTGATTTTGTTAGGTTTACTTGTTTCGCGAGCATTACGGTTGCAGTCGCAGCAAAATAGCGATCCGAAATTATTGTCACTGGAAACTGCATTCCAATAGACTTTGTCATCGCGTTCGCGTGCGACTACGTCAGCGATCTCGACTTAATGTCGGCGTTCACATATAGAACTGCGCGTAGAACATTGCCGTAGGGTATGTGTGCCGACCATATCGTGATGGCGAATACTCTCTGTGAGGTAGTCACATATCAGTATCGATCAGTCAACAGATATGCGTGAAGCCCTCGTGATAGATAATAGATGACTTGATGTTTCATTACCCGTTGTTGTTCGTTTCAGCATGTAGCTCCCTGATGTACGGGTCGCAACGCGGCTGGAGGACAATCCTATATGTGACGACCGATCTTTAACAAGCTTCACCGATCTTTAACAAGCTTCACCGAGTTTCTAAATCCGCTTCGATATGTTTCACTTAAAATTCGGCTCCAGTGTCGGCTCGCCGACACGTGTCGCGGCACCGCGGTCGGTCTTGGTCGGTCTGGACAACTCGAACGCAAGCGTGCTTTCCACTCAATTCCACTATTGCCCCGGGAAATTTCAAACGATTTCCGTTCGTATCTGGCGTTGCGCGCGGAATTCCATTTTCTATGTGGCGTCTATTATCTCGATTGATCCGTGACATCTCCGCACCGGTACTTTTCAATTTAATCCCGATCCGACCAGTCATACATATGATCACTGGCAGTTAGAGAGGGCATCCGCTTCGCTCCCCGAATAACATTCCGTTGTCTTCGTGGATCGGCAAATGTCTACCTGATACCTTGATGACTTCGGGGATCACTCGGTCATACCGCTTCTATCAACACACGGCTAGCTACATAGTCTCCATTATCCCGATTAGAGTGTACGTTCTTGCGTCGACATCAGTTCGATCAATACTTACACGCGGAATCATGTACGTGTCGTTCGTGCAAGCCGGCCTCGCCGAATTCGTCGAGTGTCGGACTAGTCATACCACTTGATCCATGCTGTCGTAATTTCCGTCTGCACAAGAACGGAAACGCGTCACGGGAATATATCACGCGGAGCACTACGTACGTATCCTTGTTACAGCGTCTTCGTCTTCTAATTGAGACCAGTTGTTCAGCATTTATACAATATCGATCGACGGCTTCACGTCGTCATCGTCGTCGGCGCAAGATGGCCCTCGTTGCGGTTTACCAACTCGCCCCGGCGACTATATATGTTATAAGCAGGTCTCCTTCTGATCGACCACGTTGATGACTACTGAGGCCTGCGTGGACAGTTCCTTTTGAGCAGGTACACCTGTCGGCACCTCCTCGAGTATTGGTCAAAGAGTGGTGGTCCTCGACACCGTTGCTGAGGGTGGCGGCGGCGGGGGCGGTGGAGAGATTACTACGTCCGGTTCACCCGCTAGGTCGCAATCGAATTTCCAGAGAATACTCTCAGAATGGTCACCTCCTAATATGGCACAATTAATGATATATTTGCAGTGAAGCTATTGATTATCAATCTGTAATCTTTGGTTTTCTCTTGCTCCTCTTGATAACCAAGTCGAAATTTTACTCTTTAAAATCTACAAGTGGCATTTTGTGCGTTTTAGAGGTGTTGTAGAATTTTAGTTTCTGTGTGTATTGAACATATATCGATCCTTTATAATATACAGGTGTTAGAAATGTTTAGGTCAGAAGTAGAGCTAAAATTTCGACTCGAGTATCTTTATATAATTAATATTTAAACTTCTCTGGATGTGCTTAAAACACTTTCTTATTGTATTTACGATAAAGAAAGAAATTCGCAATAATGAGAAAAGACGATAGAACTTTCAAGATAATTTTTTGATATTGTGTCACAGAATAATGTTATTTCCACCAAGCATGATCTTTGAGAAATTAAATCAATGACGATCTGTCTACTTCGACAAATTTATCGCGACGGTTTCCGTAATCTCTCGATCTTACGGAAACGGGATTAATGGGAGCTTAACCGTGAACCGATACTGTTCAATTTAGCAAACGTAATAGAGGATGAAATTATCGGTTTTGTAATCGATAAACTATCGTACCTTGACCCAAGATGATGTCCGAAGAGCCCCGTCTCTGTCTCAGCAGAGGTGCTTGGTGTTTGTGCGCATGGCTGTGAATGTGTGAATGTGAGTGGCAGTGTGTGTGACGCGTGTGCGTGGGGGTGACTTTGCACGGTGGCTGTTGCTGTTGTGATTGTTGTTGTTGTTGCTGCTGCTGGGGATGAAGATGAGGATGAGGCCTGTGCTAGGTGTTCCCGCCATGGGACGCCGCCACTTGATCGAAGCTCAATGATTTCTTCATCTCCGTCATCGACAATGCACCACCCTCCTGCTGAGAAAAGTAAGCGCGAGTGTTAGCTGTATCGGTGCGACCAAAGGAGAGTCATTCCGAGACGACGCAGAACGGACACGGGTAAGTTATTAAAAGTTGCGTTAGGTTGTTAAAAGTTATTAAAGATCGGCGGGAGAAGGTTATCACCGGGGCGCGATAGTGTTGATAACTACGTCTTTAGAGTTGTCTATTTGAAATGAGCGGCACGTGCTCTACGAAGATATTTTTTGCCCACAATTCTGGAGTAGAGCAGTGCCGATATAGGTTTCAGATCACGTTTTTAGAGTGGGACAAGACGAGTGCGGCAGATACGCGCGGATATATTGCGGGTTAAAGGATTATTATGAAAGCGGAAGCTGATATGCGGTTAATAAAGCATTTCTCTGCAAATAAGCTGTACATTGATCGTATGTATGTTCTCAAAGACTAATGCTGACTAATACCGCGATTTGATTGTTGCATCGTCGAAACGAACAAAGCGATTCCGCACACATTCCAACATATAAACAATGAAAGCGCAATTTTACCTGCATGATCTATAGTGTAACTAATTGTAACGTTGTTAAAGGTAAAGAAGCACAAATAGACTTATTTAAAATTGACATTAGCAAATGAAGAATGTAATAGGAAATTAAATTAATCCCAATTTGGAAGTTAATCGATTTATAAAGTTAATGTATTATCAATAACTAATTTGGTCTTGTATAAATAGAATTGATTTGTTATATTTGTGAATTATTGTACGAATGTACAAGAGTAAGTTATTGAGTTACTCGAATTTCTTACATTTTTTCATGTTGTTCTGTAAATGTATATTCTACATAAATTCTTTTCAAATAAACAGAAATATGCTATTATACTTATAAATGTGCTTATAAATATGCATAAAAGTAGTGATTTAAAGAGCACCCCGTTGCGGTAATGCAACAGAGTGTATTCGAGACGGACTAGCAGAGACGGAATAATGGGATCGATGTGGTTTATTGGGATTCAGAACGCCGTCTTCGCTCGAATGCAATTGCATTTTCCCGACAATGCGAATGTCGCTATTCACCGTGTGTATCAACGACAAGTAGTGAATGAGTATTGGTTAATTACCGTCAAGTAATTAAACTATATTACAATACAGTACGTTCAGCTCCGCGAACGCATCACGGATTTGCGGTTGTGCGAGCGAAATGTGCAGCACACGCTGGCTTTTTGTGATATTATTTTTTTTCACGCTGAGAGAAAACGCAGCAAAATATGAAGTAGCAACAATGATCGGGATAGCGAGCGCAGTTAATCACGACTGTTTCGTTGATAATTCCGTGATGAAAATAGATGGCGTAGTGTCCCGAGAGGAATGAATATCGAGGATAGTCACTGAAATCAGAGTTAATAGTTAGATTTAGACATACTCGTACTTTCGAGCGAATTTGTCGATGGAATTTGATTGAGTCACTGATTTTACCTCGACATGATCGTAATTAAACTTTAAGCGGGAGAACGGAACGTGGTACGTGACGAGATGAAGAGACACGACGGCGGAGCGGAAAGAGATAAAGGGAGAGAGAGGAAGAGAGAGTGAGAGAGAGAGGGAGAGAGAGAGAGAGAGACAGAGGGAGTGATACGTTATCGCTCTTGTCACGCGGGAATTTGCTCCGGAGCGTGTCGACATTTCACGAAGTTGCCTCTACTAATGAAAGTCATTGCCCATCTTAGTTTCCACTATCTAGGCACTATTTCACGAGACAGATAAATTGAGCGCCTGGTTCTTGATTGGATATGTGTGAATTTATTTTAATGATTTTTCTATTAACTGTTTTATATATTTTTTCATTATAAAACAATGAGATTCATATCTTTTTTTAAGAAAAGATATGTAATTTTTTCGTGTAAAGTAGTAATTTCTATTTTAATCATGTTACGAATATTGAGCACTATTCGATATTATCTTTTGTTGCTCTAAGAATTCTAATAATGATCCGACATGGTTATTAAGGGAAACGTATTCTTACAAAAAATGGTTTTGTGTTTTTACGATTACGAAAAAAAGTGTATTATATCATAGGACATAAAAAAGTGTATTATATCATAGGACATATAGTAAGAGCACATCTTGAACCTTTTTCCCCTTCTTTCTTTTTTTTTCTTTCTCTTTTCTCCCTTTTTCGTTTTCCGCTTCGGGAACTCGATAGAATACCTTATACTTCGAACAAGAGAGAAAAAGGGTGGCGTCTAAAAGCGCGACACGGCCCGAAAAAAATCACTTCCGTATTACGAACCCTCCTCGTAAAATTTCAAGGGTGACGGACCGTTTAGGCGCTACAATATTTTGCCGCGTGCCTCCCGAAGTAGCTATTTTATTTTCCAGGATAGGGAGGACGTCAAAGTGTACTCCTGCGAGTTTTCGTACGGGATATCCCTGATAGGTTTGCATCAAAAGATAACATCGTATCTGAAAGTAATATATTCCATCCAAGTTTTCAAGAATAACACCATCGATCGGCTTGCAACGTTCAACGAAGTACACGTAACAGATATATTAGGCATCAACTCTGCTCGCGTGTTTATATCGCCTGACGTTTGTACCTCGCGCGCGGCTGAACTATTCCTGATAGAAATTCCACTAAATTGCGCCGCAGGATATAACGCACACTTTATTGTTACAAGTTTGTACATGCAATTACGTTTTACGTTTATATAATATACTATAATTGTAAATGTGTGTGCTGTGATCCTGCAACAACTGTTACACACACTGCAGCCAGTCCTATAACAGCGGGATATGAACGTGCAATAATCAGTAACATCTTGTAATAGAATACGAATACACATTGTGTAATGCGTACCCGACACACCGGGAAACTTCACATTCTCACACAGCCGATATACCTCAAAACGTACATATCGCCATAACAATGTACAGAGAAACGGAGATACACAGTAACGGTGCGATCCGTTTCTGAAGAAAATTGACATTTGCAATACTCCCTTGTCAGGTGACATGTAGGATCTGATATTCCTCGTACACACCCATGATTTCTCTGATTTCAAGCTTTCCTACGGTATAAATGGTAGCGGGGAACATATTTAGGCCTCATGGAAGCTATACTCTCTGCACGGTAATGTGAATCGAGCGGGCGATATCGATATGGACGTTCGACTGATAGCAGCGCATGCATACTACACTTGAGGACACTTTCGTTAACACAAAGGGCCAGAGAAATTCTAAGCCCATAATTGGCTCTGCTCGGTAGAGTCGAATTACCGTGAAACGAGTATCGTTCCGCGACCAACAATCGGCTCTCCTCGGAAAGCTCTTATAATCCGCCGTGTTTGTATCTCTTGCAATTGTTTCAGCACTTTCCTCCACAGATATGTATGACAATTCGTTCGATAGAAGAAATACGACAAAAAAAAGAGAAAGGAAGCACTAAAGTGGGAGATCTATGATAAAAAAGCGATATTGCAAGTTTAATTAGCACGTTAGAGACGAGATTACAAATGCACGAAAGGAGGATATATAAAAGTCGCCGATTTTTGCCCCCAACCGGCAAGTGAAATGTATATGTTTTTAAGCTGCAGAATCACATGGTGTAATCGGTTTTCCATAAACATGATGGGAACATATGTAAAAATTTTAAAGAGGGTAAATAAGCACGAATATGCCATAGAAATGAGATACATAATAATCTTTTTTACGCTATGTTTTAACTCTCGAAAGCTATCAAATATATGACATTTTGTTGAGATAGAGTTGGAATATAAAAATAAGTAAATCTATGAAAACTCGAAGAATATAAGACAAAACGAGAGCCAGATACACGCGCTTCACACACATCTTCCCGCCTTCTTAAAAAAAAAAAAAACTCTAGAATTTTAAACTCTGATCTTTAAATCTTGAAATAGTTAATTTCCAGATTTTTAAGATTTCTAAGTTTAAAATTATAAAAAAACATACACATTTCACTTGCCAATTAGGGACAAAAATCGACGACTTTTACATATCCTCCTTTAATTTTTTTCACAGTCTTCTTCGAGAAAGAACAAGAATAGAGCGTTGTCTTCGGAGACGCCGATCGAGGCTGATCGCGAGCCCGTCGTGCGGGACAAGACTTACACCATTTAATCGCGGGATCTCGATGCTCGGTATGTAGGTGGTTTCCTCATGTTCCGCGGAGGAGCAGAGACGCGCTCTTCTCCTGGAGGATCGCGGGCTGCAGCGGCCGCACAACTCGGCGGCCGCGGAATTGCGCGATTTCGCAGCGGGCCTTTGTCGGGAGCCACAGCGTACGGCGAATCGCAATTCCGAGGCCATCTCCGCACAGAGGGACTGTCGTGTGGTATAAACGGTCGATGCGCAGGTGCATGTGTGCGTTTACCGTCCAAGGAGTAATCGACGAAGACGCATCAAGGGCCGCCGGCACAACAGGTACAACATACACCAAGAGACAGTACACAAGACGATCATACGAGATCGAACGCATGCAAGGCTGATTTCTCCGTGGCGCGAGGCCGTTTGTCGCTCGTCCAAACGTTGTCCTACCAATCGCTAATCGCGGAAATGTGACTGGTCACTGAGTGGACTAATTGCGTTTAACTGGTGTCAATAGAGCGTTCAATGTGTTATATTAGTGATGAATATCGGTGAGGTGAGAAGAAGAATATCGGTCTACACTGAAAGTACTTCGAGTTGGTCATCTATGGAACAGATTCGTCCTAAGATGGTCATGAATTATTTACCGTGTACTCTCTTTGATTTTGTTGTATATATATATATATATATATATATATATATATATATATAAAATCAAAGAGAGTAAATCAAAGACTGTAAATAATTCAAGACCATCTTAGGACCAACCTGTTTCATAGCTGACCAACTCAATGGATGAGACCAACTCGAAGTACTTTCAGTGCAGATCGATATTCTCCTTTTCACCTCATTGATATTCATCACTAATACCGAAATAACACATTGAACGCTCCATTGACACCAGTTAAACGCAATTAGTCCACGCAGTGACGTGACCAGTCACATTTTATATATATATCCAAAAATAAAAAATTAATCTTTGACCACCATATTTTCTACGTGAATAGTTTCTCTAGGGGATTTTGTCATTTACCAAAATATTCAATACATAACGCGCGGAAGACGCGTGGACGTAATTGATTTAAAACGAACACAGGAAGTAAATAAATAATATCCTCAGGAATAGCTGTTGATATATCGGGAACTGTGAGAATTAATTTTGTATCAAGGGCCAAACGACCTCGCGCGACCAAGAGAAAGTACAACTCATGCAGCACGTTCACTTGAAGCGTAAAATTCTACACCATCCTGTCGGCGATTCGTTCAGCTTACCCTGTCCGACTGGGCGTTCTTCTTGGAATTCCAGCAGAACTCGAGGATCGCTACCAAGATCGCGAGTACCAGGCCGCACAGCAGTACGACGAAGACACCACCTGAAATGACAAGACCGGAAGCTCATTATTTTAATGCCGGCGGGCCCTCTCTCTCTTTACGTCCTCCGCTAATTTCACCGAGCGAGACGCGCGGCGCCGTTGGCAGCCACGAAGTACGACGGGGCATGTTTGTCCTCCATCTCGCGGGCTTCCCATCGTGCTTCCTCCCTGTGCGCCTTTGTAGCGCTAGTTTGTCGGAGAGCAAAGAGAAGAACGAAACTAAGGAAGAAAGAAAAAAGTTCTTCTCGCAGTGGAACGGCCGTGGAAAAATCGTGCGCGCAATATCTAAGCGAAGCTTGCACTCAGATCGATCGTGCTACACTTTTTGGTCTGTTTCATGGGAAAACTTCGCGATGGAGTATTCGCGGGTAACGACTGTGAGTCGGGCGTGCGTGGAAACGTATATACTGATAAATGGCGGGGTGTTTGTATTTATTGCAATGCGAGAGTCGTGCGAAAACAGTGAACTCGGAAGCGGTATTTACGCTAGCCGCGCAAAGTTGAGCTCGTGTTCGATACGTGTGAAAAACGAAGTGATAGAAAAGTATGGGAACGTTCGCGGGAGCATTGCATTTGAAATTAGCGATAGTTTGTAGAAAGATTTGCGTGATTAATCATGAAACCAGAACATTCCATGACAGAGTCGTAGGTTGGTGCACGTCACGTACTCGTACGTATGACTTTTTTTATTTTCTAATTTTTTTAAGCAACGCTTATACTCTCGTATGCAGGCTACTCCAGAAACGCCTCGTTCGAAGTAATAATTCATGAAATTCCTCGAAAAGTTAAGCAGAATGTTTAGCAGACAGTATGTATCTCGTGCGTATATTGCATAATTTACAATTTATTTCGATATAACGGATTTGACTCGAGTAAACGGTGTAAAATGTAACATTATATTTAGAAAGTTCGATCAAACTGGTATTACGTTTATAAACATTCCAATTTTATCGGAAGTTTTCAATATGCTCATTTTCCTGATCAGAGATGAAATTTCACTTCGCTGGCCGAAAACATGGCACGCAAAGTTCGCTCTTTCATGCAGTCAACGTGCTCGTCCTTTCTAAGCGAACTTTCCAAGTTTCCCTTTATAGATTCTATGATGAATGATTAGCTGCTCACTAACTCAACTTTTCCGGTATGCATCAATTTTCCTTTTGTACTATTGTACAAAATATTAAAATTTCTACTGACACACTTCTTTCTTCGTGTGTCTAAAATTATTCAAGAATTTAAATTACTTTTCCGATTAATTGTACGTAAAATGTGCCACCGACGTCTAATTTGTGTGAAACATGAGTTAAACGTGATAGCAGATAGAAGCAAAAGAAAAATTCACGAAATAGATTCGCTTATATCAACGAACACTTTTGTTCCCGCGGGAAACTTTCGGCTGTACATTTCCAGCGGAGAAGAAGAATAAGAAATAAAGTATGTACAGCGCGGGCACTTTTGAGCGGGCTAAAAGTGTCCACTTATCGTTGACGGTGAGACAACTGAGCTAGTATCCAAGCGGGGGAATGCGAGGTAGATTTGCATAACTACACCGTCGTGATTTATGGTGACACCCCGGACGTCTCGCCGGAAGAACGAAAGTTTCTCGCACGGGCGCAAAGGTATCGCGCCGTGGCTTCACGCCTATTTCGCGAAGCGGTATCAAGAGCCAGGACCAGGTAAGTCGCTGTATCATCGTGCTACAGGCCGATTCAAGTTTCACGAGTAGGAAGTTCTGCTCGCCGAGCCAGGATATATGCCCAAGTTTCCCATAGGATGGCAGGCCTTCGCGAAACACTTGGCGCGAACCAAGAATTATCCGGAACTCGTCGTTCTCGAAGAGACTCTCACTAACCCGGAAATTCTCGGAGTTAGCGGTGTTCAGTGACAAACGAGCAATGTGAATGCAAGATCGCGGAATGCAGACACTCTCCAAGTAGATTTCTTCAAGTAGTGAATCTCTGATATTGTTATTTTATCGTCCTATATTGTGACATGTCCATCAATTTCAGATCATCGGTCGACTTAACTTTGTTACTTCATTGGCTTCTTTGTTTATTTTTAGTTTCTGCTTTTAGAAAAGAATACGAAGAATTTACGGTTTAACGCGGAACTTCCATCTCTTTTTAGTTCCAGTTTTAGGAAGACTGAGAGGAAACTAAAGTTAAAGTTAGTAATGTTGGTAAAACTTAGTAATGCCCTATATTATCCTTGTATTTAGTTTCTTGCTTCATTTCTTCCTTTACTCTTATTTATTACTAGAAAGAAACCGACGGTAAAAAATTGTCTGTTATTATTGTAGTGTATTATTAGAGTTGTAAAAATAATATTAATAAAATTAAGTAAAAGAATAGATTAGATACACAAGAAGAATAATTAGAACTTGAGACACACAAGATTTTTAGACAATTCATAGCTCTATAGAAAGATTTATTGCGACATTTTTTAAGTTTTAAGAAGAAGAAGGGAGAATAGCAGATATAGGCAATTTATATCTCTTACGTTTTTGCCTTCGTTAAATTAAAATTATCGCTTTCCTCTGCAGCTGGTAGACTGCTTATTCTTATGAAATGGTACGATAGAGGTCAGCCGGCGGAGATCATCCATTTTCCACGGCAAATAATCAAGGCATTGGAAAGGACGGGGATTAGCAATTTAACTGTAATTTCGCTAGATTTTCGCGCCGTGCGAGACGGTCCGTTCCTCTTTCTATCTCGTCGAGTACATTTACACCGCCGGTAAAGTGGGTACTTATCCAAGTTACAGACTACGCGGCGAAGAAACCGTAGAAAGATGGGGGAGGCAAAGTAGGTACCAGGGTAAGTAGGTAGGTAGTTTCCGCGAGTGGAACGAAGAAAAAAAAGACAAAACGGATGAAGGCAGAGAGGGAGAAAGAAGGAATTTGTTGTGACTTCCATAAGATCCGGAAACGCTTCCCGGAGAGTCTTAAGAAAAATTTGTCAGCGAACTTTGTGTGAGATTCCACCGCGCTCGAAGTCCTCCTTCCTCTTTGATTCAGACTTTGTCTTCTTCGCCAAATGTCGTACCACCGTACAGCGACGAATTAACTTTTTCGACTATTTGGTCGAGACAACTCTAATATTCGTACACAATCTTTCTGTATTTTTCTATATACCTGTTTTCGATATCTGAGTAAAATAAATTTATCGACATGTCGTATTAAACTCCAATATATCGCTTGAATGAAAACCAACCGATAATTGCTTTTTGACCATATTAATACAAAAAGCTTTTAATATATAATATATAAAAATATATAAAAATATTTTATTATGCAATACTATCTTTTTTCTTTTTTAATGACACAGTTTTCGTATTTCTCAATTTAGTATTTTCCCTCGTACACTCGATTTATAATTGCATAAAGGAAACTTCTGTTCGTGACTTTTCAACGCGCCGTATACGCGATCCGTGAAACGAATGAAATATATATCACAGTTGAGATGACTGAAAGTTAAAACAGGCGTGTCGGACACGTGGAAGTTATGACTACCAAACATCTCTTTTGCTTGCGTGTATACAAGCGCGTCGTCAATAGGATAGACTGCATCTGTGATTCACATGTACAACATGCAAATGTAATTCACAGGTAGCATTACGGTTAAAATTTGCTATGCTGTTGATAAGATACGAGTGAAATGTACACATATCGTTTCACAAACACATTTTGCGAGTACGTTACACTTAACTAAATGTATTCGCGCGCGTGTATTGCGCCCGTTCGCAAATTCGATAAACTCGACAACCCAATTAATTAAGTATCGAAAACCATAAGAGAACCGTTCTCAGTGCTCGTTTCAGCATCAAATTTAGCAGAAATTAATTTTCAGAGCTACAACTTTTTGAATATGATTTGCTACGCACTCTATTATTAAGAGTATTCCATTTCATAATAAGCGACGCTTTAAAGCAATTTTGCGATTTAGTATGTGAATTTTAATGTATACATGTAAATGTAATTGACATTTTGACATGCAATATTAGAAAAATCAAATTTTGTATAAAATAAGATGAAAAACGAGTTCTCTTTTTTACTCTCACCTTATTGATTGTTATAATTTTATTTGTTACTTCTACCTGTTTCTATCTATTAACAATTTAATTTTAAATAAAGGATTAATATAATCGGGCAAGCTCACCGATATTCTCGACTCCGAGAGCGTTAGCCTTGCTTTCTTTATTCTTGTCGTCTCTGTTGCACACGTCGCCCGTGTTCTTCCACCATTTATCATAGAGTATCTGTATTACACCTTTCTCCTGCAGCTCCAAAATGGCTAGAGATATTTTATCCCTCCAGGGCGAGCCTGCATATAAAAAGCCTTCGTTAGGCTGGTCAAGGATCTCGCAGTTCCTGCTCCAGCAGTATAATCTCGAACGTAATTCCGCCGTTGCTTCGCACATTGGACATGTCAAATATATCATCGTGCAACATATTTCAAATATACAGTGACTCACGCGCACGGGAATTCTCCAATTTTGCACTATTTCAACGGGAAAATATAATTTTTGCCCTTAGTTAAGTCTCTTGACTGTGTGCGAGCGACATTAAAAGCAATGCGCTTTTCTTGAACTACTTGTACCGCGGCGGCTAATGAAGCCGATATTTCCTCAACGGAAATTTAATCGGAACCCAACTGTTCCATAACTTCTGAACTTTCAGTATCGAATACCTCGCTAACAAACTTTCAAATTAAACGTCTGTTGGATCTACGTTGTTATCTTTATTCATATATTTACCTTTCGGAGTAGCTATTCCGTATCCTTTGCTATCTAAGAGACCTCCTATTTGCGTCAGATTGCAGTCACGTTGAACTGCATAATCGAGCATAGTCGACTCCATTAAAAACGCGTAGTCGCCCTCTAAAACCCTCTTCACTCCTTCTTCATAGGTTTCAACGAACACGGATGGAGTTCTCGAATCCATGAACTTCCACATCTTCTGATAAATTCCGATTTTCGAGTCCTGCGGGATTAAGTCATGCAAATCAAATTCTTCTCTTCCATATCTCTTTCCAATTTAACTTTGTGTTTTGCAAAAATTAAGATTCCAATATATAGGACTTTAAAGACAGATTAAATTTTAAATTAGTCGCAAAATGAGAGAATTTGTATTGCATTAAACAAGTATATCGGTTTTTCAAATATTAGCTTATAGACGGACTCTAAACCAGACCTTTCATTGAGTGATCGCTCTTTTATACTGTCAACTTTAAATGTAAATTCTGGAATTTTTTGCTCATTACCGCGCACTGGCTAATTTGCTCTCTGTACGAGCCAGCCAGGGGAAGCAGAGCTAATAAAAGCTGTCATTTTGTTCAATGAGTGTAGCACGTATTTTTCCGATAATACGTCACTGTTCATTAATATTATGGTGACATATAATGCTTGCGCAAATACGTCGATATAAATTTGATCTGTCATTAGCGCGGTTTCAATAGATTTATCGACTATGTGCGTCGTTGTACTGCATATCCGCTGCTACTGAATGTAATATATTTTACATTTGTATGCATATGCAATTTTACTATGCTCACCTACCGGATTTTTGGTGCGACACATTGCGTTGTAGAACGCAATTTATGTTTTCATTATTGAGAACTACAGTATTGTTATTCGCTTAAATCATGTATCGCGTGACATATTTCCGAATAAAATCGCACAATAAAACAAGGGTCGGATGAACATTGTACGCATAAAAAAATGATAAAAAAGACGATTAAAAAGTGTAAAAGGAACATTAAATTTGCGCGTTTAAATGTAACAACGAGATACTATTGATGACTACAATACTATTTGACATACTAGGAACATAAAGACGATTTCACATTCTTGTACTCACCCTGAAGAACGTCATCGTACTTCCACCTTCCAGAGTACCGTAAGATATCTCCGTTTGTTCCGCGAGATCGGCAGCGTTCTCGATTGGGGTAATCATTCTTTCAACCGTCAGAAAGGCCGCCAAGTTCGCGGTGTAAGAGGAGATGATGATCAATGTGAAGAACCACCATATGCCGCCTACTATTCTCGTGCTGGTCGCCTGATAACGAGGATTAATTCCATCTTCATCACGAATAAACTCCATAAAACGCTGTTGTATGCTTTTCCCTCATTCTTCTCGTTCAGTTAAACGGATATTTCAACTCGACGATATTGAATGCAGTAGTCGTTTAATAATATATTAAATTTCGTTCCACGTATAAATTTAATTACACCCTTATTATTTAATTATATAGATTTTAGTGTATATAACGGGAAAGAACTTCAAGTAATTTATTATAATAAAATAAAAAAAGGTTAAATTTATATGAATTTAATATAATCTCTTTTTGATCAAATTTGTTTGCAAATATTTGAAAAGAAAGCTTTTTGATGTCAGAAATATTTTGCAACAAATAAGTTGCTTAAGACATCAATTATGAAAAATCCAACGTTGATAAATTAGATACATTAAATAATTTACTAGCGTTCCTCAAACAACAGAGATTATTTTTAACCCAGATTCTTCTCTATCAATCAGGCTGTCGATAATATCATCGATAGTAGCATCGATAGTGAAAATCAAAGCGTCGTAAACACATGGGAGAAACATCAGTTTCGAATTCTGTTAGGAAGGATCTTTCACGTGTAAATGTTTTTCAATACTACTTCACCACGGGGAAGATACTTTCTCATCTCTGTCGTGAAAGAGCGTAAGGGGATTCGGAGATCGATCGAAAACGCATCAGCACAAGTGACGAGGTCGATTTAAGGCGTGGCGAATCGTGATCCCGACGGGAAATACCGCGCTGCAGTCGAAGAATGCAATATGGGATCTCGTTTAGGATTCGTCGGCAGGATATTTCGGCCCATTAACGACGAACTCGACAATCGCGGAAACGATCCTCGGATATAGAACACCCCGTGAATGATTCTCTCGTTCCCCTTACATCTTCGGATTTCGTTGTTGAGTAAACGATTTTAATTTCGCCGCGTGATGATGTGACGCGAAAGAGTTCGTACCGCAATCAATAATTCGCACACACATAATGTAGTACATGAACAGTAGTCTACATGCGTTCAATTTGTTCGTTGAATATAATATCTGTGTTTTGCATTCCGTGCAAAACAGTTTTCATTTAAAAACGATCTGTTTGAACGAGGATCCGCTGATTTTTCGTATCGACATAGGAGAAGCCTCCTGTATGTGTATTGTGTGCTTATATTATCGTTTGCAGAATGGTTCGAACATTTTTTCTTCGATGTATTTCAGAACGCAGCTGACGTCTAAAATTCGTAAGTAATTTTAAATAATTCTTAGAATATACATTGTTTTCAAGACATTTCTGTCTCCCGGAGGACAAATCGAACATTTCTTCACACTACGAAAACCTCAAATATTAGATAGGTTTTCTCACTGAATATCGGCTACGTTGTTAAGTATATAAAAAAAAAGTCCAAATTGTCCTCCAAACGTACGTCCGTTCGCGCGTGTGCAAAGAAACTTTAAACAAAAAGTACATTGTCATTTGCAATATTAAATTCTTGCCTATGAGCGCTTGGCCGCGGCTGTTAATGCGATTGATAATGTCGATGTGGCTGGCCATGAAACACACGCGCTGACACTTGAGACAGTTGCAACGACAACCCCGCATGTACATACGTGCCACCAGAGTCAATTAACGTCGCATGGTGTATAGATATACCATAAATATTCAGATTTCTCCGTGCAAGACTCTACTTTCTAGTCGTGTCAAATCTGCGATTTCCACTCCCCTAGCGTTTGATACATAAATACTGCAATATTTCATACGCGGTGTATAGCAGCCTAAATTTTACTTTCCGAACTTTACGGATAATTACTGATACATACAGATAAGCGTATATAATATATATATATATATATATATATATATATATATATATATATATATATATATATACATATGATGAGAAATGAATTCGTGGATTTCGTGAAATTGATACGAAAGATTTAAAAAACTACACATGTATATTTGACATTGTTTTATGGTTATATCTTTACTTTTTTACATGTTTTATTCGTTATATATACTATGTTTTATAAAAACTTTCACGACATCATTTCGTCCACGTTCTGTTTCGGATAAAAATATCGTAAAATTTTCGCGCAATATCACGCTGCGAACGCGAAATACAAGAAACACCGTGTACCGGAAAAACGATGCATATATCCAGTGATTTATAAGTTTAGATGAGTTGGATTTATGTCTCTGTGATTCAGCGGCGTGATAACTGCACGCGTACATTGCAAGATAATGCCAAAATTATTATTCGTGTCAAAGTTTATATTATTTAAATATTATTTAATATTTATATCATATAAATATATTTTCTCTGTTTATATTATTTTCACACTTGTGCCATGCTATCGTTTTTGCGTTTAATTAATTTGTTTTTGATCAATTCGCTTTTGCGAAATGAAATGAGCAATATTTTCACGTGTGAATACACGTGTGAATTTAACACGTGTGAATATACGTGTGAGTTTAACAAATTAATTATTGATTTGAATACTTATCAATTCTCTAAGTATTCTGTTAATAAATTAAATTTTGATATATTTCGAGGTATTTCGAATAATGTAAGAGCGACAGGTGTATGAATAAAACACGTAATATGATTACAGATACAAATGTGCATCAACTAAGCGTCTAAATTATTTCTATCGCTTTTCTAAATAGTATTAGACACGATGCAATGTGTGTATAAGATTATAATAATTATTAACATGTAGCTTTAAAATAATAAGCAAAGTATAAGAAAAGTATAAGCAAAGTATAAGCAAAGTATAAGAATCGATAATTAATATACAAGTTTTTTACTACCGTATTATTGTTTTTCTAGAAATATTTTAAATAACAAATATTACAATACCAATAATAAAATACTCCAAGCATTCTCTCTTTAGTAGTTCTATTTTATATCAGAAAAAAATATGCAACATGTAATAAAAAGCTGAAAAAACACCGTTTATGCCGCGGCAAGGAAACGCCTGCAGCAGTCGCTCACGTAAAAGTGAAGAACCGCGTTAAATTTACTGCCAAACATACACACCAAACTGTTCTTGTATTACGCTTTTTTGAATTTTATATACCAGATCCATCGTTCTCTAACTTATCGTAACCCCAAAAAGTAGCGTCAATGAAGAAAGTAATAAGATTCCATTGATGATTTTTATCAGACGTTTCAAAATATGCCGAAAGCCTTTCTTGTATATACGTAAGCTGCCATAAATACATAATAATAATGTTACGTAATATAAAGAAATAATGTAAGGAGCTACAAACAAAGATAATAAGAATGGAAACATGTTGCAGTAAATATTAATTTGCTTATTCCCGAATTTGCCACTTGATATATTTGGCATAATAATAAAAATTATTATATTAATTGTTATATAATTGTAAATTGTTATGATCACATAAAACAAGTAAAACGATTGTATTTTATAAAGCATAGCCACTAGAAATTAAAAGACGATTGACTTATATGTGCATGCAGGGTTGATATGCGTTTCCTCAATTATTTAATTATTATCTTAATTAAATAGAATAAAAGTTGGTAAACAAATAAACTTGCGTTTGCGTTAAACTTTGTTCTTTATAAAGAAACTAAAATTGCAAATTGTCCATTGCTGAAATTTGACGAAAACCTACATTTATTTATCAAAAGATAAAAATCTGTTTAAAGTTTGCTTCGATTCATTTCTTGTTATATTCAATATCCTAAATACATCCTTTTACAGTTAATTATAAAGAATATTTTTAGAGTTAGAAGCAAAAATTCAATTGGTTAACAGGATTTATAATAACAACTTATAATAATAAACATAGATTTGCAAAACTAATCGTTTCCGAGATATATACAAAAGAATTTGAAATTTAGAAACTCGTTAAAGACTTCTAAGAGAAATATGTTCAAAGTAGTTATATCAGAAGCGCGAAAATGTTAGCTTTCGAACGCTTCTTATTTAAAGTCGTTACGATTTCTAAAAATGAAGTTATCGACAACTTTATCGAACCGCGCGCGAGGTTAGTTCAATGCTGATGGAAGTGGGTCAACGATATGAATGGAATACTACGTGTAAACAATAGCAAGTCCGCGTTCCATCACGTACATTTGTTTACCTGACGCGGCCTTGTCCCCACTCCCACAGACGTCAGTGACTACGCGGCTGGCAGTCATCGACTTTGGTTAGGGTAGGTTAGGGAAGGTTACGCGAAACTCTGAAACGCAGAATTCCAGGCAACAGGCAATAAGAACAGGGAATTTGGATTGGTCAATTATTTATATTCTCTATTCATATTGGCTAATGCCTATTCCTATTGCCTATAGCCTGACATTGTGCAAGGACTTTGATACGCGTTAGATAATAACGCGGACTCCTGGCGTTATCATCTAATACTGAGTATCGAAACTTGAAAACTTCGTCACGCGCGAATTAATCGGCGTAGAAACATAAAACAAAATGCAATCCTCCTGACGCACGAGATCGTGTCTGCGTTGCTCTTTTGTCGTTGATACAAAGAACGACTGTTGCAGTCAAATGTCGTAACAGATTTAAGTTGAAAACTTTGTACCCCCTCACTTCGTCAACACCTTCTTTATATATTTTTTTTATAAAAGACAATCTTCAAAGAACATTTTTAATTAACAATAGAATTTAAAAAATACTAAAACAGAGCAAGCAATAGAAATTATAAAAAACAAATTGATGATTGTCTGGTAAAACAAGAGATAAACAACGAATAAGCCCGGAAAGTGCCACTGCTGAAGATGTAAGTAAAATTGTAAGAAATACGTGCTAGGTTATTTATAAATTATTAATTCTTTGAATTATATTATATTAGCCATTTTACAATATGTGCAATCTATGTGTACTAAGAACGCTTGAAAAATAAGAAAATGAATCGAAAATATCTCGAAAACAGTTGATTTAGCAAAACTACATTTGCCAAGTTCTCGTTTATTTTCATGAATGTTATTAGCCAGAGTTAAGTTTCCATGTATAATTTTGAAACATCTTGTATATTATTTAAGCTCGATAAATAGCGAATTTTTTCATATAACCGTGCAATCAAAACGTAGATAAAATGAGACGAGACGTCGCGAGAGGGCTTTACTCATATATGTTCTACCTTTTTTAATCTTTGTAAGTACAATACACACACATATACAGTGAAGAAAGATACGGTACAAATAATAACGAACAGTTCTTTTCACACTGAATGCTCCCATTGTCCACGCTAGCGGTGCCACCGCCGACCTAGTTTGTACTCCGTGGATACTTTTCTTGCAATTGACGGAAGTCTATACAATACCTACCAATATTATTCGACAACTGAAAGCCAATTGCACGCTATTCTGCACCGTGGGTGCACATCGCCGTATTCTATTCATCGTATTACACGTACGCACACACATAGCATTCAACAGTGACCGTACAAATGAAAATCAAGCCGTATGTTGCAGGAATAATAATTTCTCGAAACGAAATAAGACGGATGGAAGATAAGACGCTTCTTATCTATACCAGACGTAAAATTACAATTCACATTTGCCATTGGACCGAAGGTCATTAAGTATTTCTTTTTCCTTTTGTCCTTAAAATATTATTTTTTGGAATACTTTGGTAACTACTATTTTTAATTTAGAAATAGTTAAATTTATATATATTTTCAACATCAGTTTACTTTGCTGTCTCGCGAATAGCGGCATAGGTCTTATTTTATAAATGCTAGAAGTACTTTGCGTTTTATGTACGTGAATTCCTTTTTAGTTTTATTTAATGCTATTTATTCATTTTTGCGTGGTTGTTATGTACGACGTATTTACATGGTGCTCTTGTGTGCGTCTGCCGTGAGCATATGTATTTATTTCTCGTCTTAAAATACAGAATTTGTTGAATTTTGTATATTGCACAATTACTCTCAAATTATTTAAATAACTGTAATTAACCTTTTACGCACAACTAGCTTGAGCTTTTAACACAGAGACAATGATACAAATGTAAATTCACGCTTCACCTCTAAGAGGATTATTTTCATGACAAGTAATTTTTTTTAAGAGCGAAAATAAAGTAAGAATGAGGTAATGTGCATTTTTATAATTATTCGTATTTTGTATAAAATGTGTGTGGAAGTGATTATATTTCTAAAATTCCTTTGTTTATTGATATCTTATATTAAAGTAAGATACGTTCGAGGTAAACAATAATTTAGCGTGCACCCAATATATCTTTCATTCATAAAGACGTAAACTCACGTTGATATTGGTTTCTACGATAAGCATCAAAACAAATTGCTTTCGACTCCACCGATTGTCATATTTTTCATTTTCCACAAGGTATTCTCGAGATATCGCTGCTAATAAAGTTTCTTCTCTTACTTCCCTCTTTTCTCAGAGTGCTTCGCACGTGGTTGAACAGAGCAAGTAATTTCCACGCGTATATACCGAGTAGCTATTAAAGGGAAAGAAAACTGTTTCGCGCAAAAATAAATTCTCGCGATGTGAATGCAGACTGGACAGGAAAAACCAGAAAAAAACGAATAGATTAGAAGAAAAGGTCTGTCATGTAATTATTTTGTTAATAAATTTAGTGGTCAATTCCCCTTTGGTATTATTTATGTTGAGTTAACGTTGCAGAAGTCGCGCGAAGGAAAACAACTGTTCGCCATCCTTTGAAGTAGCTGTTATTAAATTAGCAAATATACCGAATGCATATACATACTTTGTATTATTTGATAGATTGCATGTTATTGTGTTGTATATAAATCATTATGGACTTTATTTATTATTTTAATTGAATTTGTAGAGAATGATTAAGCGGCTTGACACACCGGGCGAACATTTTTACACGTCGTGAAAAGAAAATGTTTAACAAAGTGTCGTAAGTGTCACTTCTGGGGGCACTTTAGTAGTTGTGTAAGAGGAAAAGTGCAAAAACAGTGATGCAGAGATGGCTCACGTTTTTACACTTTGACTAAAATTTAACCGAACTATGATATAAGTATTTTACCGTTTGCCCTGCTTGCTAACATGTTGCTTAAACAAGCGTTTCACTGTTGTAAAATTCATAGAGACGCGCGCGATTATATACGAGCTTAAATCCTCACGCGGCTCTTTTTAATTAACATCGCATAACCTACGTGGAAAGTTGGTCTTTGACGCGAGCATTTTTGCAAATATCACGGAAGCTCGTGTAATTTTGACAGCGAATGTAGTTCTACGTGCAACTATGTGCACGTTTGTTAGTGAAAATGTTATTTCACGGACGCTCTTTTGACTCTGTGGTGGCACGTTTACCTTAGGGTTGAGATCGCTGCCCTGTTGCATAAGTGTGCCAACCGTAAACCAAAAGCTGTTGGCTAGGCTGAATTCGTTGACAGTGCTCAGCAGCGGAATGTCGTCGCTGTCCGGATCCAAGGCGCTCACGAGATTACCCTGATGACAGCGTGATCCCCGCCGAGCGGTGCAAAGTTCAAAAAACGATCACACTAATTATACTTGATTAACATACTCAGCAATGTCACATCTAATTCAATTGAAATGTTGAATCGTGTTGGACAGAAGGCGCGAAGTACCAACGTGAGATGATATTGAATTTTTTTCGCATTTTATATAAGAAGTATCTTTGAAAAGCAAGAAGTATCTTTGCGCTATTTTTAAAAAGAGTGATTTTTTCTACTTTTTAATTATGTTTACTTTCTTTTTTGTTTTTTTTTCACGATGGATGCTGCATCAAGGAACGCGCATTGCTGTAGGTATTATTAATTGGCTGTTCTTTACTCTTTACTCTCCTGAATATTACATCCTGCGATATGAAACCGAGAATAAAGTACACGATAAAATCGTGAAAATTACGGAGCGGTTGAAACAAACAACGCTCTTAAATTAATCGTCGGAAGTTTCAGCTATACTTTAATGCTACAGATATTTAAAGATTTAAGCGAAGTCATAATATTCGAGGACTTATATGCGTATATTCTCTAACCGATCGATCGTTTCACACCGCTCGACGGGGGCCTACCTGCAAGGGACATTTACAGCTTGGACAGGGCGACGGCTCCACCCATTCGTAGGGTGACAATCTTGCCACTATCCATATTGCCAAGGATACCATTACGTAACCGCCCAGTAAGGACAACCAGATCTCCACGGCGAGGGGATTCATGAACGAGAAGAGCCGCGACGGCGTTCGTTTGGAAACCTGAAGCAATGACATTTGTTTTCGCGTTACTAATCCGTCAGAATCGAATGCCAGATTGATCCGTTCGACGCGAATGACAAGTGTCGCGAACAGCGACGCATCGCGAAACGCAACGATGCACTTGTTCACGTCCAATCGTTGCGCCGTGTACTTGGTTGGAAGAGAATGCAGCCGCTTATAACTTGCGCTGCTCTCTCTCTCTCTCTCTTTTTCTCTCTCTCTCTCTCTCTCTCTCTCTTTCTCTCTCTCTCTTTCTCATTTTAGTCTTTCAAATGGCTCGAAGGACGATTCTTTATTTCGATGGAATTACGGGAGGGTATTATTCTTCGGGCTCGCCGGGCGGAACACAATGGCAGTACACCTTGAGTGCAACCGCCGCTACGTGCTGCTTTATTTTTTAGTAAGATATCGCTGACGCCGTGAAAGGGCGATCGAGATTGGATTTTAAAACGCAATAATTTATCGCAACGACAGAACGGGCAATAACGAATTCGCAGTAATTTCATTCGAGCAATCAATTTCCACGACGTAAAAGAGTTGCGTTGTATTCTCTTTGCAATAGCGACGAATGCATTTGCGTCATCATTTTCTTTACTTTCATCAGATTAGCACGATGTTCTTTATAACAGCTCGAGAGGAAAAGTTGTCGTGATATTCGTTCAATATAACACGGTCGTCCTTGCACACGACTTCAGCCTTCTGTAATATTGCAAATACATGATTCGTAACATAAACATGTATAAACAAATCGAGCACGCCGCGAACGGACGTCTACTCTTCGCGTCCCGGTGAGATGATGGATTTATGCGCGTACTCTCTCGCAAATGGAATCGTACAGTGTATATACGGCAAATGCGAGTGTGGTACGGGCGAATATATTGTATGACGTATGATCGTTGACGACGCAGACGATCGGTGCATGTAAAGAAAACGGTAGAAGTAGTCCAAATGGCGGAGCACCTCGTTGAGTGTACCTTAGGGTTGAGCCCGCTGCCCTGCCTGAGGAAGGTGCCGGTGATGAACCAGAAACTGTTGCTGACGCTAAATTGGTTCTCGACCACGTCGCTCTCAGCCAGGCACGGATGCGGATTGTTCCATTCGTATGGACTGAAGCGCGCCATCACGAAGAGGGTGAAGCTCACGAGCATGTAGGCGGCGAGCACGTAGAGCCAGATCTCGACCGCCAGCGGATTCATGAAGGAGAAAAGTCGCGTCGGCTGACTGGACGGCACCTAAATGATGTCACGCTACGATTTTAATTAAAACGGATCCCGTCTGATGGTGCAGCGGGTCACAAGCGCGGCCTAACGCGATGCTGCAAACCGATGCGAGTCAACTTTCACATAGAGTGTATCCAGCATCATGCGTTCAGAGAAGCTCTTTGTAGATGGGTAAAAAAGTTTGCCAGGAGGTGACAATAGAGAAGAAGGGGAAGAGAGAAAGAAACGACAATCGTGAGACGAGAAACCGATTACAGAGGAAGGCGATTAATCGTTTTTCTTCGCATTTATAATATATTTTGATATACGTTGATTAATATATGATCGATTGTAAGTTGGTTTGTGCACTCTACAACGACTAAACTTGCAACGCTTCAAGTTGTCAGAATTGAAAGTCACTGGTAACGTGTATGTGCAGTAATCGTGTATAAGAAGAGTCGAAGTGATAGTACGTAATGTAATACTTGTGAAATTTGAAAAAAAGAATTTATTTTGAAATAAGAGAATATCATTTTGAGAAGTAATTTATATATATATATATATATATATATATATATATATATATATATATATATAT